GATAATATCAGTTTTTCCAGTTTTTGGCTTTGGAACCAAAATAAAATTTTGTCTCACCATTATATTTAATACTAGCTTTGTAGATGACACCTTTACAGTTATAGTTTATTGGACAGTTAATTTTTTTTTCGACAATTACACTTTTTTCTGCGTTAATATTGTTATTGATGATGTTTAAATTATTTGTTTAATGTTACGTTTTTATGTTGTGTTATATGTTGCTCAAGGTTTTTGGTGCAGCTGTAGCTAATCTTAATATTGTTCTTACAGAAGATTTTGTTGAGTAAAGGGTCATGGTTGAAATGTTTGTGAATTAAGTTTAGGAAAATCCTACCGATGTTGATTTTGACATTACTGTTAAAAGGTGGGTTAAACCAAAATATGTAGTGTTTTCTATTCTTACATTTATTATTGGCGTTCTTACTAATGCTTGGAATGTATTCTAGTTTAACTTTGTGTTTACTTTTATTTAGGGCATCTACATATTTAGCTTTATATTTGTCAAAAATGATTTTGTTGCTAAAGTTAATCGAAAGACTGTGTTAAACAGATTTGTGCAAATTATTTAAAATTCCAGGTGGGTGGTTGGATTCTTTGCTCATGTATTTATGGTTAACAATTCACAAGCTTCTGTTGGGTTGAACGCTCCCATCGCTATAGAGAAGTTTGGACTGTCTTTTTTTGGTCCAATTAGAACCACCGTGACATAGGATGGGTTTCTAGGCTTGCATAATGATGTTGATTTCCTGGTCAGTGATGGTGCAATAATCCTTGACCGAGGTTATAGCAGCCATCAATACGTCTTCAGTGATCGACAGGTAGAAGTTGGTGATGTCAAATTGTATGAAGGCTCATTCACTTTTGTTTTTCATATTAGAGAACCAATTGATAGCATCTTTAGTATTCTTCCATTGGTTGACCCCTGTGACATTCCTAGTGTATTTTCAGGCTTGCTCTAATATAGCCTTGCTGATTTTTGCCTATATTATTCTTGGAAGGGTCAAGCAATCGAAACTGTAGGTTGTTGGGGGAATTATCCTTATGGGCCTTAATGGTAATAAGCTGAATAAGCAACAGTCTTGTTGATCTTAAGTTTAGTGGCTGTAATCCGTGCCTCATTGTTAATATCATTTTCCTATTCAACTGGGGCTTTCTTATATATTTTATTAACTTCCTTACAAATATCTTTGTGGTAGTCATCGACATTATAGCAATATAGATTGCCAGTTTTATCAGATTTGATAATGATTTTATTAGTATTACTTATGTTGGCAATGTCTTTTTTCATATTTCTCTGTAGATTGTTATATTTGATTGCGTATTTAATTCTATTTATTACGAGGACAAGTCTTTTTCAAATTACAGGAGAAGGTCATCACTAGATAGGTTTTTATATATATATATATATATATATATATATATATATATATATACACACACACATCAACAGCTATACAGACAACTACACATCTATGTACGCACACATATGCATAGATAACAATTTTGGATTCAGAGTCCATGCAAAATTAATGCAGAACCAATCACAGATTTTCAGTATCCAACCCCGAATAGATAAGTATCAATGCCATAAATTGAATTGTTAGCAAATAAAGATAGGTTATAATAAACATCAATGGTCAGGTTACAATAAAAAATATATAAATAAAAATAAAGAACCTATGAACAATGATTCTATTACTAACTTTACCATTATTTTATTATTTATTATATTATTACTTATATTGCAAGGTAAAGGGTGAACTATGTCTACAGTTAATGGTGAGTTCATTCCTTTGGTTTAAAAGATTAATCTTGTCCTTAAATCTAATAATTATTTCCAATTTTTCATTGAGACAAAGATAGCAAGGTGCATATAGAGAATTACATGTTCGAGCCTTTTTTTTTTTTTTTTTTCTCCCCGAGTACTTTCAAATGTTGCTACATTAATTTTCAAGGATTGTTTATGCAACTGTTTTTGGTTAGTTCCAGCATTCCCATGTTTGTTAGAACCAATTTCATTTCACTCAAGGTCAAATTTAAACAGTCAAATTGGACTTCTTTTTTTTTTTTTTTTTTTTTTTTTTTTTAAATTTCTATACACACTTCAATGTATGGTCTCCTAAAAAAAATTAAATTATGCATAAAAAATCCAAATGCAAACATTTGTTTACAAAACTGAGCAGATATGAAAATTCAAGAATCTGGAACGAGAAAGATTGTGCTTAGAGGCAATATTTGGCCTTGCTTGGTCAGCAATGCCTTTCTTGGCCGAGTTGATTGAACACATGTTGGATCTAATGACTGTTTCTCCTGCAAAGGGTGGGGGGTTCACAAGTTCAAATCCTGCAGAGAGTGGGCACATATTTTTCTTTTAATGAGATTTCTTGAATATTCAGGCCAGTAGATAAAAATAAATATACTGTTTAAAATAGTGTGTCTACTCAAATATGGATATCCACTAAAAATAGCATTTAAAGTGATAAAAATCTGTTGGATTTATACATAAAAAAAAATCCATTACTTCTTTAGAAATTGCTTTGTTTATGTTTGGATACAAAACTAAGCAGATATTAACTTTCGGGAATCTGGGACGAGAAGGATTCTCTTAAAAGCACAAATTAGCCTTGCCTGATCAGCGACATCTTTCATGACTAAAGAACAGTATTTTCATTAGTTTTACAAATAAAACATTTACAAGGATAGATCAGTAGCTGTTTTTAGCTGATGCAGTTATTACCTGAATTTTGTTCTGAAATTTTCCCCTGTATGCTGTTTCATCTAAATGATTGAGAAACATATTCGATTGACAATAGTGTTGTGAAATATTTTTTGTTTATAATGAATGTCTTTTTCGTCATTAGGCTACAGACTTATCCATGTATCTACAGTCATATGGATCTCTTTTAATATTTATAAAAAAGAAAAGATGTCTTCGGATTATGCAAGGCAGTAAGAACTGTTAGTTATGCTAGATGATATTTTTATTAATAGCGTTTTTGAATTTCTGTCATGTATAAGGTTTGATCAAAAAGTATCTAGACTTGCTAAATAACTTTTTCCTCTTTAAGAATTAAGTCCCACTCAAAAGGAAAAGGATTTAAAGTTGTCTATGAAGTCCAAGAGAATGTATTGGGGCAGCTGCTTGCTATCCCCAAAAAAAGTTTCAGGAATGCTTTCATCAATGGAAATGACACTAGATAATGTAGTGTGTTTTCAGAAGGGGACCAATATGTGCTACTTTTCTTTTTAAAGTAGCAGTCCCAATACTTTTTGATTAAGCCTTGTATATTTGTTTCTGTTAAGGAACTCTTGTGATCCTTTTATTCTTGCTGCTGACTATTCTATTGAAGATTGTCATCCTGGTCATCAGTTGAAGTTGTGATGCTTTGCTCAGTCAAGATCTGTCACTGGATGTAGAGAAGTTCCTTGCATCTGTGGATTCAATCTGAAGGTCAAGACAAAATTGCACCACAATATTTTATTAAATGATAATGTCGGCTCGTTGAAATGGGATTCTGGCTGAACAATGATCTCTCTTTCTCTTTAACTCACTATTCATTCACATGCATGCATGGGTTTTTAAGATTTCTTTCAAAACACAAAAATATCACAAGCCTCTCACTACCCTAATTGCTTTTTCCATGGCAAATGTTCAAACAAGCTTTATTCCTTAGTTCCACCAGCTCTGACATCTAGACCCTGTCATGCTATGTGCACTGGAACAAATCCTCCTCATTTCTTATTCTACTAGTAAGAAGGAAGTTCCAATTGAACAGCTTCTTCCCAAAAGCTATTACTTTGTGGAACAAACTCCTGAGAGGATGCTTTCCTGACCACTACAATCTTAATCACTTCATGTCTAGGGTTAACTGTTATCTTTCCAACACATCATCTTAAACCACATTAGGTTCTTATCTTGCTCATGTAACAACCTCATCCAGTAACCCACTACTTTGAGTGGCTCTTGGGCCTTGTATTGTGTGAAAAATTAGTGAAAAAATATAATAAACTATTAATTCACAAGAAGTTAGTAGTTCTCAAAGAAATTTGAAGCAAACAATACTGTCCTTTTATTGGCTAAGCTTTTATCTCAGAATATGATAGTGGGGAGAATAACATCTCAGCTGGAATCGTATATGCATGTTCACTAGATGTTTCTTTGCAATATAAAACAAGTGTTCAATGAGAAATCGATCACCTGAAAATAGGCAGCATGGTTACAATCTGACATAGTTTCTTTCTATGACATGACTTCAATGAGTACCAATCCCAAATTCTCAAGGTTTTACAGGGGTCATCTCATGAATGTCAACAAGATGATGTATTGAAAGCAAATTATTTGTAAATTGCACAAATTTCACTGGATTCTTTGTTTAAAAACTAAATGCTGATTTGCTGACAGCCAAGAGTTTGTAAAATTTCCTGGCCAAGTTCTCTTCAAGATAAACTTTGAATGTTTAGCATGCAGATAAACATGATTCTAACCTTTTTGATAAGCTTGAGTGACAAAATTATCCAGGCTCCATTTGTCATGTCAACCCACTTAAGCAAAAGTGAGGGTGAAGCAGGTAAGATTGGGGATTTATTTAGTTAGGAAGTGTTGTCCACTAGTTCAAACCTCACTATGGGGTTTGCTACCGCATCAGATCGAAATATCTGTTCCTGGATGATCACCGTAGTTGAACCTGGAAAAATAATTTAGATTGTGGTTTTTTTGGGTTGTTTTTTTATTTAGATAATGATTTAATGATAAAGTCTTACTAATTAACTCCTAGTTGGGGAGAGAAAAGGTGGATTCGTGCCTTTCCCAAGGGTATTTGTGTGTAAGGGAATATAACAAACCCAAAAACACTTGTAATTTGGCTCTGCATTTTCTTTTACCCACAAAAGATTTGTTTAAATCTATATGTGATATTTTAAAACACTTTTTACCTAATATTACTTTATAGATGTTAGAGTTCACAACATATTTTTATTATCTTTGCTTTTTGTATGTTTAGGGGCCCAGATTATTGACTTGATGTTGTTGGTTGTGGATGTAACAAAAGGAATCCAAACCCAAACGGCTGAATGCCTTATTATTGGTGAAATTGCCTGCGAGAAGATGATTGTGGTTCTTAATAAAACTGACCTTTTACCTTTGGAAAAGAAAGCAGCTATGATTGAAAAGGTAAAGCTTTTTTTTTTTATTTGTTTATTGACTAAATTCTACCAAATGACAAATTTCCTAAATAATTGTTTATTCAAGAATTTTCAACTTGTTATAATTGTTAAAATATTGTCAGATTTATTTTATTTCTTCCTTTTTTCTCTGTGTCCTTTCCCTTTTTCTCTGTGTCCTTTCCCTTTTTCTCTGTGTCCTTTCCCTTTTTCTCTGTGTCCTTTCCCCCTCTCTCTCTCTCCTTTCCCCCCTCTCTCTCTCCTTTCCCCCTCTCTCTCTCCTTTCCCCCTCTCTCTCTCTTTCCCCCCCCTCTCTCTTTCCCCCCCTCTCTCTCTTTCCCCCCCTCTCTCTCTTTCCCCCCCCCTCTCTCTCCTTTCCCCCCCTCTCTCCTTTCTCTCTCTCTTTCCCCCCTCTCTCTCTCCTTTCCCCTCTCTCTCTCCTTTCCCCTTTTTTTTCTCTCCTTTCCCCCTTTTTCTCCTCCTTTTTTTTCTCTCTCCTTTCCCCTTTTTTTTCTCTCTCCTTTCCCCCTTTTTTTTCCCCTTTTTTTCTCTCTCTCCTTTCCCCCTTTTTTTTCTCTCTCTCTTTTCCCCCTTTTTTTTCTCTCTCTCCTTTCCCCCTTTTTTTTCTCTCTCTCCTTTCCCCCTTTTTTTTCTCTCTCTCCTTTCCCCCTTTTTTTTCTCTCTCTCTGTCCCTTCCCCCTTTCTACCAAAAATGTACTTTTTATGTTGGAGTTCTAACAGAATGAATTTACAGAAAATACAATTTACACCACCAAATCTGGTCAGTTTTGATATGCCATAGATATAATTCTGCTTTTTGCTATTCAGTAAGTTTATATTCTATCCATTTAATACACAAGAAAATCCATGGTGTCATCTATTGATAAGTTAAAACACACACACACACACTTAATAATTACAGGGCAGATAACATAATTTTCATTCATATCACAAACCAGTGGTTTAAAAAAAAAAAAAAATCTTTTTTCTGGGCTGGATTTTCATAATGAAAATTTGTTTGCACCTCACCAAATATTGTGATAAAAAATAAAACCAGTGTTAAAGGGAGATAACTGCGGATTCAAAGTCAGAACATAACTCTGTCCCTCAATTTGCCGAGCATAGTTACTATATTCTTAATAATTGATATAATGCAAAAATATCACAGTAATAAAATCTGTGAATAATTATTTGTAATTATTTATACTTTGACTCATGCATGCAATTACAAGTAATCCATAATAATATTTTAAATTTTGAAATCATTTATTTTTAGTATATCCATTTTTTTTTTTTTTTTTTTTTTTTAAACTGTTTCTAAATCTTTGATTTGTCTTTCAATCATCCTCTTCCACCTGACAGTTTGGGGAACCACTGCCATAAACAAAGCTTTTTTTCAAAGATTTTTAATTGTTTTGGTTCAGTATTTTGTCCATATATTATTTAGATTCAAACAAATTTTCTCATTACAAGGTTTCCAACATTTTGTCTTCTGGCCTTCTATATGTCTTTAATTGTTTGGTTGAATAATACAAACTCAATGGCAACAAGGTGAGTAAAAACTGAGAAGTACTAAAAAGTGCACAAAGCAGGGTATTATTAGAAATGGACAATGGAATGAGAATAAACCATCCCTATAGATTAATATTTTAGTTTGAAATTCCCTGAATATTACCTGGATCAAAAGATACTTGCAAAAGGCTGGAGAAGCACAATGGTCAAAAACTTGTGATGATAACAACAAAGATAATGACAATAATCATGAATGTAAAATAATAATTCTTTAGTAAATGAATTCTTTTCACAAGTTTGGACTCTGGTTGGTTTCCATGATGAATGCTTATTCCCTTTTGTCTACTTTATGCAAATGTGTGTGTGTGTTTTGTTTTTTTTTTTTTTTTTTTTTTTTAATTAAACAATTTTCAGTATATTTTCAGATGAAGAAAAAGTTACTTAAAACATTAGAATCTACAAAGTTTGCTAATTGTCCAATTGTTGCTGTGGCTGCAAAACCTGGAGGACCAGAGGTAGGTAAGATTATACCTTCTTGATTAATTCATAGTTTTTCTTTTTCTTTTTCATGTGACTGCTTTGAACCCAAAGAAGCACAGCTCACTTTTTTCTTTTCTTTTCCTTCTTTTTGTCTTTTCTTTTCTTCATCTCATCATCTCTTTTTTTTTTTTTTTATTCTTCATTACTTTTCTCTTATATATTCACAAATTCAATTGTTATGGTGCAGCATTGCTTTTCGAAAGCAATTCAACATTAATCCACCCCCTCGTAAGAATATTCAACAGTGATTTAAACCGTTTCAAGAGAGTGGGTGTCTGTGTAAAGGTAAAAGTTTGGGAATCCCATGAATTTCAGAGGGAAACATGGCAAGAATCTGTGGTGCATTTGAGGGGTGTCCACAGATATACCTTGCGATCTCTCAATCCACTATCTGGTGTGTGCTAAGAAATGCCTCAGCAATGGATTGGTCAGAAGAGGACCCCAAGAACTTGCTCTTTGTGCTTGGTCTGCGAGATCCCAAACCTGACTGTGCATAATGTTTTTTTTTTTTTTTTTTTTTTGTGTGTGTCTGTGTGGGGATACATAAAAGATTGCATTTCTGTTCCACCTCTACACACTACCCTCAGTGACCTTAAACATCAAAATAACATCAGCAATCAACTCAGTGGCTCGTGATATGCTGATATGCATCTGGGAGGAATTCTCTTATTGCATTGATGTTGCCTGTGTAACAGGTGGTGGCTACATTGAACACTTGTAAGGCAGAAAATAAAATTTGATTGTGAGTAGAATACTTGGGACTTGGCTGGAGTTTACTATTGCTTTTCCTTATTAAAATGTTGTGTAATTAAATTGGTTCATTCTTTTTTAATAGCTGTGTGTGTGTATATATATATATATATATATATATATATATATATATATATATATATATATATATATATATATGATAGGTTAGTTAATAAAACAAAGGACAAACAAAAGGGTACTAATATAATCAGTATGATAAATATTTATTAATTATTAACCATATGACAGAAATGAAGCACGGAGAGAAATGTTTTAAGTTCAGAATTTTCGGACACGCATGTGCCCTTCAACAGATCAAAGAATAAAGAGAAATCAAGAGATGTTTTTGTAGTTGGGGTATTTTTCAGTGGAAATATATTATTAGCAAAATGTCTGATTCCTTGCAAATTATTTTATGAAAATAAACTTAAATTTTAAATTTTGATCCATGTAAAAGCATTAATCAGGCTTATTATTACTAGTGTGTGTCATGGGGAGTGAAATTGTGTACATAGATAAAGAGTTATAGGTTGGTGAGAAGGAAAGATATCCCGTGTGTCGCAAGTTGTACCCAAAATTGTCGGAAAAAGTTGTCAAGTTTTTTTGCCCAGGGTATGACGATAAACTATATCCATCAGCAAGGCCTCTGATCAGGAGATTGGAGGTTTTTGGAGAGCATGGAACCACCTCTTAACAGTTGTTGTTCCCTGGTCCACCTTGATCTGAGGTGGTAGCACCTGTTAGGGACACAGCTAATGGTAAAAATAGTGAACCCCCAAACAAAAATCAACAGTACCTTTTTATAGCAGAATGACAATCAATGCAAAACTGGAAAAGTATAAAAATACATTTTTATAGTAAAATTATATACATTTTATCTACAAACTATATATTTAAAAAAAACAAAAAAAAAACTTATTTTTACCCTAAAAGTATATAACTATGTACAAAATATCTGTAGCTGAAAACTTGAAATGGCATGCAAAATATTTCAGCATTAAATAACCCATACAGGTTTTGATATGCCACTAAACAAAATCAAGTAATTTGTTTTTTATTTTTTTATTTAATAAAAACCTATTTTCTTTGTAAATTTCTAACAGCAAATAAGTATCAAAGATAGAACTCTTCTTGAATGATTATCCCTAACACTTTTTTTTTTTTTTTTTTTTTTTTTTTTGAAGTCGACTGATGAGGCAAACTCTGATGATATGATGAATTTGTTAAATACATTGAAACAACAAACTTACATTCCAAAGAGAAATGTTTCTGGACCTTTTATCTTCTCTGTTGACCATTGTTTTTCCATTCGAGGACAAGGAACTGTAATGACTGGGACTGTCATCAATGGCAGTGCAGCAGTAAATGATGTAAGTAATATTGTTTGTAACAGACAAAAAAAGCTTTTCTACAATTGAGTAGTCTTTTTAGCAATCTTTGTGATTAGCTATTCGGGTTTTTTTTTTTTTTTTTGTCATCGTGTGAGGGTTGGTTATTTATTTATTTATTTTTTTTTTTTTTTTTTTTTTTTTTTTTTTTTGTCATGGGTATACTAGTATTGATATAAGATTCTACTGGACATAAGTTAGTTGAGGATCATTTTAATAAATTATCCCCTCCCTAAACTGCAACATATTAGTATAATAATTGAAGAGCAATCAATATACAGGGGTTGGACAAAATAATTGGAACACTTGTTAAATTCCAAGAAAATTTATTTAATATGGAGTTGGTCCTCCTTTAGCCTCATAGACAGTTTTAATATGTCTAGGAATGGAATCATACAGCTTCCTGACTTCATCCAGAGGAATTTTCAGTCATTCTTCCATTAAAACCTTCTCCAGCTCTTTACGACACAATGGTGGAGGATAGCGGCTCCTAACTTGTTGCTCCAAAATGCACCACAAATGTTCAATAATATTGATATCTTTAGATTGGGGAGGCCACTCCATGTGTTCTAGCTCACTTTCATGCTCTTCATACCAATTCTTAACCACTCAAGCGGCATGTATTGGAGCATTATCGTCTTGGAGGATGCAGTCACCATCACCATCAGGTAATAAAGTCTTGGCCATTGGATGAACATGATCTCCCAAAATGTTCAGGTAATCTTTTCACTGTTGGAAGAAGGCAGTCAGGGTTGTAAGCTTCTTTGGGCTGCCTCCACACATAAACTCGCCCTGAAGTTAGGAAAAGAGAAAAACTGGACTTGTTTGAGAATATGACTTGCTTCCATTGGTCTGCAGACCAGGCATTGTGATCTCTGTACCACTTCAACCTCTTTTGAATGTTGTGAATCTTATGGAGCTCACGGTGAACAGTTTTAGTAGAAACTGAACTATTCAGATGGTTATTCAACTCTGCAGTCATTTTGGCCGCATTTGTGCAATGATTTTTTGCCACATTGCCTTTCAATACACGTCAGTAAGTTTGCAAGTCCATCCCAAATTGTTACGGTTGCTAGAGGTCTTGCCCTGTTTCTTGAATTGCATCAATGTTCTTGATATGGTAGCTCTTGAAAAACCAAACAGTTCAGCAACCTTAGTGATCGAGGCTCCTGCTATGCGAGCTCCAACAATTTGCTCTTTTTCGAACTCGGAGAGGTCATGCATTTAGCTTAAATTTTACTAAATTCTAAAAATAAATAAGACGAAGACAGTAAATTAGATAAATAAATGTATAGATATAACCTGCAATTACGAAGTTTTAGTTAAAGTTCTTAATATAATAGGTCTTTGAAATATAGGAGATTTTTCAACTGTTCCAATTCCTGTATTTAAAAACTTTTATTTGAAAAATAATAATAGTAAGGACTTAACAAAACACACGTAAAGAAATTTAAAATAACGTTTCACATGTTGTGCCCTGCAGCCATCATCAGGTGTGTGTCAATCCAAGAATTTTGAACTGAACCCTTTAAGTCCACAAGTGTAGATTATTCTGATTCTACAAGATTGTTCTAATGTCTGAAGGACACATGACCAAGTGGATAGGTATTGGTTGATTCATCCAAGAGTGACTTGACCCAAAGAGTTGTGAGCTCAATACCTGGCCACCACAGAGGTGGGCAAAAACTTAGTTGAGTTATGAAGGGGAATTAATATCCAAAGGCCATGGAATTAGAACAATCAAATTACGTGAACTCAAAGGGTTCAGTTCAAAATTCCAAGAAATATCACTGAAAGTGACTAGAACATAGAATGGCTAAAATGTTATGAATATGGCAATGAAGATGAGGATAATAGTCCAAACAATGTAAACAGAAATTTGTATTTCTCGTTCTAATATGACCAATTGACCATAGGACACCAAGAAACATAGTATTTTGGTATCTCTTCATTTCCCTGCCACTAAATAGTTACAATACCTAAATCATTTGATTTCATAATAGGGATTTGTTTTTTTTTGTCTCTTTATTTACAAGATGATGAAAACTTCTTGGAATATCGAGCTTGGTAAAACAACTCTTATTTCACCGTGTAATTAAAGGCGGAATCAAAATTTGATTGTAGGGGCAAAAAAGGGTAAAAAATCTAAATTTTTTTTTAACTTTCTGTAAAAAGAAGAAAAAAAAAGGGAAAAAAATATATCTAGTGGATGATGAATTCAACAAAATAGTTTTTCTGTTTATAATATTAAAACACTTTCTTATAAATGGATTGATTTTTTTTGAAAATTTTGTAAATTTATACAATTTTTGACTTTCCCCAAAAGGACTGACAACATCAAAACTGAAACTTGTTATACAAATGGAATCAGTGGTCAATTTTTCGAACAAATTTTAAATATAAAAAAAAAAAATTGAAAGAAGTAAAACTACATTTATTGGAACTGATAAGACTTTCTCGGCACTTTGAATGGCCAAACTCCACTTCCTCTTCTGATGGTGATTTGCAGTCTGAATTTCTTTATAGGCTTCTATAACCAATATTTCTGGAACATTCCAGATTCTTCTATCATTTGAAACTAGCATTAAACCTAAAGACAAAAGTTGACTCAACCTGTGCAATATCGTCCACCAAAGGCTATCAGAAATAAGTTTCCACCCTTAGTTGGAGTTAGAAACTTGATTATTGTACTGGTTGGAAATATAATGTCAGTGACTTGGCCAATGTAAAAACTGGAATCATAGTATATGGCAAACCCATTGGCCTTGTCTCTTATATCTGAAGATCACTTGAGATGGTTCTTTATTAGAGCTACCAGAGTTAGTTACTGGGTCTTCAAGTTCCTATTATGTAATTTCAATGGTACTAAGTACATCAGCTACAAACAAGCATTGTGGGAAGAATCTAAAAGGCCTCTTAAGTCATCTTCTCCTTTAGTGGCTAAAATTTTCTTGGCCGTGTTAAATGTTTGTTGAATTTGCTTCATCAATCTTGACTGTTCCATCCTTGTATTAAGATAGTTTGCAGAACCATGCAAAAACCTGGAAGTAAAAATATACAATTCTTCTATCACAAAAGAAATAGAAAAAAAAAAAGAGTCCTCCTTAACAAAGATTTTGTGAAAATTTTTTTTTTTTTTTTTTTTTAAATCATCGTCTAAACTTATGAGCTCTTTGCCTATTTAAGAGATTTCCTCATTTACCTTAAAATCATAAAAGTTACAGAAGTTGGGCTAACTAAAATAGATGAGACCTAACCAGAACGGCAATCAGATTATTGGGTGTTGCTGTCAACCCATTAAGCCACACACACTGATTTCCACATTCTTTTCATCACACAGTATTTTTAACTGCATCAGCAAACTTTTTGGTACATTACAAGGAATTTGGGGTCTTCTTTGGCCTACCTCTTCCACTTACAAGAAAACAATCTCTCAGGACGTTTAGTTGATCATCCACTGAACAGAATATTTTTATATATTCATCATAAGTACATGTAAATTTAAAAACCTAAAGTAGTCCCCAGGCATGAAAAGCACTAAAGAAACAGACCTGCAATACTTGGCAAAGCAGAAATAAGAAAAAATTATTTTACAAAAAACTGTTTTAAATTTTATAAGTTTAGGCTTTCACTTTATAAAGAAAAGATACAACAATTGAAAATTTACATAAAAATAAATGAACTGAAAATATTCTTTTTTTTTTTTTTTTTTCAAATGGTAAGGTTTGTGCTTGAATTGTTATTGTTGAATTAGATGTTAAAATTTACTTAAAAAATATGCTTAAAAGTAAAAATTTCCATAAAATAAAAACCTGTTTTCAAAGATAAAAAGTAATATTTACTAATTACCAAAAAATAATTGTTAAAAATAAGTTTGGTAGAAAAGTAAAAAACACTTTCTGATGCTAAAAGTAAAAAAAAAATGATATCTTCCAAGAAATACCCATTTAAAATAAAAAAAAAAAATGTTTAATTTTAGAAATTAATTTTTTGCGGACATACAATTAGTTCAGATGAAAAATATATCCTTTTATTTTATTTTATATAAAATGTATCGAGTCAAATTACAAATAATTTGAAAGTAAATGTTCAATTTTTAATTTAATCTGTGAAATTAGGAACTAATCCCCAAAATTAGTTAATAATTAGTAAATAAACATTTTTTAAAATTACAATATTTTATAAACACAAATGCAAGATTTATAAAAATAAATTACAAATACATACATACACACATTTTAAAATTACAATACTTTTTCATTTTTTTACGTACACAAATTTTTTTTTTTTTTTTTTTTTTTTTTTTTTTTCATGGACAAATATGAGGGTGTAAAATTTACTTAAAATATGTATTTCTAGTTTATTTTTTAATGCCTATTTAGTTACACAATAAGTAATTTACTTTATACAACTTTAGAATAAACATAAGAAATATAAGAAAAAGATTTAAACTCGCCTAGAAACTGTGAAATGTCCATTGATGAAACAAGTCAGATTTAAAAGCTCTGGGCATGTCGGTCAGGGCAGTCAACAAATTCAAGTTTCTAAAACACCTCTTTTTATATTTGTTCACACCTTGAGTTAGTTGGACGTAGTGATAGGAAATCGACTGATTATTAAAAACAAAACATTGCTCTATATAAGAAGGTGTAATTTTCATTTTTTATGAAGGGAATTTCTCTGGTATTTCATCCATTGAAGTTTTCAACTTGGAAATTTTTTGTGAAAAATAACCTCAAATTTTACTTTAAACCCACCAAAATGAGGAGTGTTTTTTTTTTTTTTTTTCCCCTTTTCCCTCCCCTTTTCCCTAAGATGGGACTATTTTGATATGTGGAGGAACACACAACTCCAAGCACAACAAATTTCAAAACATAAGCATAAAATTCTCTAATTTTAAAATGCAAAAAAAGAAGCTCCCGTCACTGAAGCATGACCTCATTTAAAGGGACATAGAATAAAAACTAATTATCACACAACAA